TCATAAATATTATTTTATTACTATGTCACTTAATTTTACTAATCACGAAATTCCCATCAAAAATTTTGGCCCATATGGCCAGTCTAGCTCGGATAGGATTGTAAAAATTATCATCGCTTTATGTAGTTTTATATAATTCCAAAACCCAAGAATTTTATGTAGTTTTAATCATGTGAATATGCAGGCCCACTACAATGTACAGGTTAAATTATAGTTTCGAACGTAACAGCAATTATAGATTAATATAATTCGGCTATTCATTTATTAATCTGTTATCTATCAGATATAAAGATAAATTTATAGATAGGAACACATTCAACTTTTGTTCGTTGAGCCCTGATAGGTCGGATCTAAACAAATGATAAATTTAACTTTGTCTCATCGAATATATATATATATATATAATGTTGTCATTATCTAAATACTTACCTTGACTTGGATACAGAAAACCGTCAGGAGTTTCACCAGGCGGTGCAGGAATTTCCATAGATTCAAGTGATGGAAGTATGAGACCTTGCGGCGCTGTTACTGCTTGTACCTCCGTCTTTGGTCCTGTAGGTCTCGGCCTTCCCCATGCTACTTTCAATGCGTGTCCTTTAATATTTAGGGTATTATGAGATTTATCTATCGCTTGCTCGGCTGATGCTCTAGTTGCATAATTCACAAAAGCGCATTTAGATTTGTGAACAACAACGACTGATTTGATTTCTCCGAACGCGTAAAAGTGACCTCTATATGTGATAATTTTACAAAACAAAATGAGTATTTGTTTGATTACACAGTTGCATATTATGGTCTGCACGATACCTAAGATCTGTTTCTGTAATATCTTCTTCGACGCCGGTAATAAACAGTGAAGTCTAAACATGAAACATATTTAAGCAATTTAATCTATAATGATAATGTTCACCGATATAATACTTACAATAGACTTATCTTCTGGTGGAGTGATGTTAGAATTCCCACCTCCTTTTACGCGGTTTAATATTTTTTTGGCTACCGGATCATTTGTACCATAATATCGATCCTTGATGTTCTGGTGTGACAATTCATTTTCTTCTGGTATCTCGTGTCTTAAAGAAAAGATATTCGTTTATATCTT